CTTCCAACCCCAACATTCTGCGATTCTGTGACTGTAAATTGTTTCATGCCTGATGGCTGTATTTCCTTTCTGTTATCAAGGGCTGGTGAGCACTAAGGGACGTGGTTTCCGTCAGCTCCTGATCACGGCTCTCGAGGGAACTTAGAAATACGTCGGGCCTGTGGCAGGTTTTTGCTGTGTACAGCCAGACTGACTTTTCACTCGTATTTTAACTTTCTCTTTTGTCGCAGGGCGTAAACCACCGGCTGCGGGGGAGTTTGACAGCGATTAAAACGAGAGCTCCGCAGCTGGGAGGTAACGAATTCCGCGTTGTCGCCATCGGTGGGCAACCGAGTTTGGGAATGTGACAGGAGCACGGTGACCCCCCAAGCTGGGGGCTGCCGGTGTTTTCAGCAGGGTTTTTTAGTCCAAAGCTATGAGTAAAGAGGCTTCTGACTCATTTATGATCAGTTCAGGCACAGAGGAAACGAGCCAGGCTTAACAATTTGATCTGTGCAGATATGCCTGGGACAAATAAACAGAACGGACTCATTAAAAGAAATGATCAAACGGGGAGAAACAATGAAGCAGACGGGTGGGTCTTGGGGGGGATTTCAAGCTGTGCCCCTGGGGTCAGCTCCGTACATTTCAGTCGGTTCTGCGAAGCGAATTTTGCACGTGAAAGTCTTAAAAACCCAAATAAATCACAAAACTGCGGCTCACCGGTCACGGTCTCTTTGTGTCTGACCCCCACGGAGCTGCTGAGGTGGTGGGAGAAGGGTTAGGGTAAAGGGGGGAATTACCCTGTATTAGTGTCTGCGAGGATATATGGTTAAAAAAAATGAAAAATCTGAATATTCCCTGAGCTGAGCTGGCTTTGTTGTGAAGGAAGTTCCATTCTAATCGCTGCTTGACAGGCTTCCTGTCCTCAAACACGAACTAGTGAGATGATTCTCTAGGAAAGGTGCACGTGGGGGATATGTGTGTCACCTGGCAAGCTGGAATTTTTCCTCTGTATCGATTTTAACCGGGGAGTTTGAACCTCCTCCACGTCTAGAAGTGGGCAAGCTCGTACCGTGCCATCTCACGACCGCACAGCTCTCCCTAACCTGGTTTTTATTTCTTTTTTTTTTAACAGGTAGCTTTGCTGTCTGGGGAGGTCTCTTCTCCATGATCGACTGCAGTATGGTCAGGATGAGAGGGAAGGAAGATCCGTGGAACTCGATCACAAGCGGAGCCCTGACCGGAGCCATTTTAGCTGCGAGAAGTAAGAAGCTGAGACCGAGATTAACCGAAAAAACTTCTTTTTTCTAGATGTCCTGATTTATGATGCCCAAACTAGAATTTACTGTCAGAGTGATCCTGCTCTGGCAGGGGGGTTGGATCTTTTGAGGTCCCTTCCAACCCCTTACATTCTGTAAATGTGTGAAAAACAATCAGAAAAATGTATTCCGTGCTTATGAAAGTAATAATTATGTTCTCACATGTTCCCGGTGGTCCTTTGTTTCCTTGAGGAAGAGGCGGGGAATGGCCCAGGAATGGTCCTTTTATTGGTTGTGCTCATGAGGCTTAACGGCTGCAAAATCACTGCCTCGAGTCTGCTTAGAGGAGAGGTTACAACTGAAGAAAAGGAGCTGTGACAGGCAAAGGAACGCGCCCGAGAAGTCTAAAGTCTTGTTCTGTGCTTTTTTACTTGCCAGACGGGCCGGTTGCTATGGTGGGATCTGCGGCGATGGGAGGGATTCTCCTGGCTCTGATCGAAGGGGCTGGCATTCTGCTCACGAGATTTGCCTCCACCCAGTTTCCAAACGGTAAAAGCTGTCGGACCCCTCCTAGCACGATCTTCCCGCGGGTGCCCCGTCCAGTCGTGGGGCTCAGCGCGGGGTAAATTTCCTCCACCCGTGTCCAGAAAGTGGCACGAGTAGCGTCAGCTCCTTCCCGCTGGGCTGAAGGCTCGAAATAATTCCTGTCTGTGTTGTCTCACCTCGTTTGGGGAGGAATGGAGATGGAACCACTGATGCCGAAAGGATTAGGAGCAAACGGGTGATTCCTGAGACGCTTCCTCCCTCGGCTTTGATCGCTGATGTTCTTTTTCGATCTAAATTAGAAAAAATCTCCTTGATACAGAGACATTTTAAAATTAATCTGTGTTAGAGAACGCGTATTGTATGTCTGTTGCAATTTACAGTAACGAGGAGCCGGGAAGCTGGCTCCTCAGATTTGTTCCATTCCACTTGTTTCCTTCCTTGTCGGGGGAGTTAATGTGAGCGAACCTTTACAGAGTGGCCCAGCTCCGCTGCAGGGCGACGAGGCAAAGGTTTCCAGCTCATGACTGAAAATGTTGCCCTCTCGCTGCTCTGATTCGTGTCTCCTTTAGCAAAGGAGCTAAAAAAGCTCTTGAACTTCCCCGAGTGGAAAAAAAAAACCCAACAAACCCCCGAATGCAAAGTCTTGTTACTGGCTTCAGTAATTTTAGGGGAGGATTTATATGAAAAATGCTGCAAATGTCTTTCCTGTTGCTTGTAGGAAGAACTTCCCATCATTTGATATTTAGTGTTTGCCTTTCTTTTTCTCTTTTCCTCGCCTCGACCGCAGCCCCGCAGTTTGCAGATGACCCCTCGCAGCTGCAGCCCGCTCCCTTTGGCGGCGACTACAGACAATACCAGTGATGATCCCCGTTCTCCTCCTTCGTGCTGTCCCCTGGCTGTGATTTCCAACCCCGCTGCGGTCTGGTGCCACGCCGGCGGTACGTCTCTTCCCCAAACCACGCCGAGAGGACTTTCAGCACTTTCCTCAGCGTCAAGCTGCGCAGGAGAACTCGTAGAAGACGACAAATCTTATTTATTCGCCATCGATTTTTCGTTGCTGTAATGTTAATACATGCCTGATAGAATATACGGAGATTTCAGACAAGGACCAAACGGAGTCTTGTCGTCCTTTGGACATGGACTGAAGCGAAAAGGCTTTGGAGTCTTCTCGGGGATGTGGCGTTGACCACCCGCAGCTGGAATTTAGCCTTGGATTTAGGTCGCTATTTCATCTCCGCGCAGTTTTACATTCCTAAAGTGAACGCTCTTGGGAGAACGTTCCGACCGGTGAAAATTCCTGCCGGCGATACGTTATTTCCCTGCTGTTCTTTGGTTTTCCGTGCCGCCGCCGGGCAGCCTCAGCTCTTTGGTTGAAGCCTTTTGTGGATGCGCAGGCTCCCTCCGCCTTCTCCCCTAAACCTGCCGGCCTTTGAGCCCCTTTTTTTGCAAAAGATTGGCAGCAAATAGAATTTTTCACCTCTGCCTTTCACAGCAGCCGCGGAAGGGAACGCCGCGGCCGGCTTCCCCTCCTAGAACGTGCGTAGGAGCCCCCCCAAAACAAAAAACCCGTGGGGCTGGAGGGCGAAGCCCTGCTCGGATCCAGTCCTGAGCGCAATCCAAACGTCGCTCCGTGGTTTTTATTCTCAAAGTCCAGCCGTGGAGGCGTGTTCCCTTTTGCCAGCAGTTCAAAAGTCACGTCCAGTGGGGTTTTTCTGTTGTTAGTACGATCGCTTGCTGGCAGATCCGTTTTCAAAAAAGACCTGAATAATATTTTCATGGCTTTTCGTCTGCCCGGGGAAGGAGCTTGATCACTCTGTCAGGAAACTAAGTCAGACTCACAGAGGAGGAGGAGGAGAGGGTGAAAATAACGCAGAAGCGGTCGCAGTAACGGGTGACAAACCGGTGAATTGGGATTGTACGGAGCGTGCGCACGAATGTAGGATCTTGACCATCCCCTACGTCCCACCATCCCCTAAAAGTGATGGTTTTTTTCCTTTTTCCACCCCCCTGCCTGCCCTCGAGCTGCTCCAGGACAGCTGGGGGGGTACCTTACTGGGTGACATAGCTGCTGCTGGTGTGAATTTTCAAAAATCTTAAGCACAAAAGCACAGTGTGTGTGTGTGTGACCCCGGCTCGCTTTGCCGGTTTCCTGGCTCCTTGGGCAAATTTTCAAGACAACGTTATTGATTTGTTTCACTGGGCCAGCGCTCCCTCCTTCCTTGAGCGCCCGGCTGTGGACTGGGCAAGTCTGGGCTCTGAGAATTATACACGGTGGCACCCAAATCCACCCCTTCACCCCCCGCTATTTCCCCTCCTGCTTTGTTACGGGCTCAGAGCACTCTCCCTCCTGGCTCTTGGGTTTGCTGAGAGGACTTGAGGCCAAGTCACCTCCAGGCACCCTCAGCCTGGAGCACATGGGTGATGTCTCCCACTGGTGCTTTATCCCACAGTGGACTGGTCGGGCTGGGACATGGAGGCAGCACCTTTGACTGAGTGCTCCTCCTCACCCTCCTCTTCCTCT